GCCTTATTAACTCTGGTAAACAATTATCTCATTTTCTAATATTTTTTAAATATACTGCAATATAATTGTCATCTTTTTACGGAAAAGATACGAAATAGATAGATTTTACTAATGCAAAATTATATAGACTTGCTATTACTAAGCAATTAAAAAATCAGATATAGGTAATTTATAATCATACAAGATACTATTTAGGTAATGTACATCTTTTTTAATTCACATATTTCTCATTTACTACCAATCATCGTTCCATAAGGATTTGCAATGAAATTGCCAGCAACATGCGAAACGACTGACCTGTGGAAAAAAGCATTCTTATTCTGTTCGTTGTGATAATTTGAATAAAATTGTATAATTCCATCAGCCAGCAGTGATTACAACGATATTCAATTCATAGAATTTTCGTTGCTGCCAAATATATTTGCAAGATTTGTGAATAGCGCTAATTTCGATGCGATACGAAGATCTTCCTTTTTCATGACTATATCTTGATCGGGCATCATCTTGTCCGCAATATGCTTATAGACTTTGCCATTAGCATTAACATAAAAAGTAGAGAAACCATCGTACCATCTGAAATAGTTCCCATACATATTATTTTCATAGTTTCTATAAGGAAAATTAGTTAAAGGGAATTTAAACATTTTATTTTTTCTTGAAGATAGAATAAAAAATCTCTAATACAGAATTAGAAAAGTAAAGTTCTTTTCAAATACAGTAAAATTTCAATTAATTGGAATTAATGTTTACGAGAATTTATGACAATTTTATTACAATTATGTTTTTGTTAATATGAATTTTGAAATACAGATGACACTTACATATCGTGATTGGTATTTATGGCATCTTTTATTTTCCAAAATCTATACTTCCAAAACGTAGTAAACACCTTCCAGCCCGTGATACCTCGTATACGCCAACGAACTTGTATGGTATCACTTTCAGGATGCATTGTTATCTTTATCATATCTAATTTGACATATGCAAATTTCAAGTGACCAATCATTCTAAGCAGTATTAATTGTTTAATATAATTGTTAATCCCCCTGCAATAATTTTTAAATATATATATGAAGAAGAAATAGCAATATTTAAAATGTAAGACATTCCTTATTGTTTTAGAAATTAATTTATGTAATAATATTACATATATTTAATATTTTATTACATAAATTAATTTATGTAATAAAATTAATTTACCTTGTTGTTATTCCTCTAATATTATTGATAAAAACTATATCATCAGTATATATCGAAATATCCAAAGGTTTCACAAACAATTTTGGTAACTACAAACAATATTTCAATCAGAAAATAATAGCCCAGAGACTTATCTAGCATAAGAGAATCTCTTATCCTAGACAACTATGCCTAAGAAAATTGTCTCAGAATTATTGTACTTCATTTCTGAAGGAGTGTGATTGTAAGTTCGAATCCAAGTCAATGAAAGTGCAATAATTCTGAAATATCCTGTAAATTATATAACATACATCGTGACTAAGACAATCGACTACGGATTGCAATTGTTTCTGCGATGGTTTACCCTCGTTTTCTTGTAGTGACTGTTCCGAGTTCATTTTTAGAGTATTGCTTGCAGCAGAAATAAATAAGATATTTTTATCAATTGTTTCTTGACTACTGTGTAAACTTTCTAAAGAAATCACCCTATTATTACATAGAAATGAATTATCGTTAACATTTCCTATAACACTTTGTGCCTGAAACATTTTAGCATTGTTTGACATGATTTCTGTAGGAGGTAAATGATTCCTGCCTTTCAAGAAGGCAATACTGAGTCTTTGTGACTTATGCAGCCTGCATGGGCTTTGGACCCAATACATTGTATTCTTGCTCTCATCGTCAGAGTATCGTTTGGCTAGCTTTTTATTCCATTGATTGTGAACGTCAAGATAAGTCAACGATAAATTTGGAGGAAATGTACATCCTGCAAAAGGTACTAACTTTTCTGTGGTGTTTGCTCTTACAGACAGTGTTCTCTGTGTATCCAAACTGAACTGAAAATTTATAGATATGGTAAGATTTTACAGCAGTATATAGTTGTAAGAAGTTATAACATAAAAGATTATAAATTGGAAATTATTCAGACTAAAATATAAATAACAGTTTTATATACAAAATGTCTCAACTACCATATTTTCTACTAAAAATATATTCTTAAGGTAATTTTGAGACGAAAATATAATACAAAAATATCAAGACTACAATAATTATTTGCTAACTCTAAGCTAACTAATTATAAGCTAACTAACTATAAACTAACTATAACTTTATAAATTCAAAACTATTTTATTTTTAGCCTCTATTATTATTTCTTGATTATTTCAAACATTCCATTCCAGAAATAATAATAGAGACTATATATAAAAGTAAAATGGCTTTTTGACTTATAAGCATTTAAAGTTAACTTATAATTCAAAAAATTATTGTAGTCTCGATATTTTTGTATTAGGATCTTTGTTTCAAAATTATCTGAAGAATACATCCTTAAGAGAAAATGTGAAAAATCCTGTGTATATATCTGTGTGTGTGTGTGTGTGTGTTAGATTTATTAGCACTCGTGTTATAATGGTTTCTATTTTTAAACTTAGACTACTTAAGTTTAATTTGTAGTTTAGTCATCTATTAGAAGCTTATTATCATAAATCTACAGTCATCTCTTGTATTTTTACTACAGAAAAATTCGCTTCAAATAAGTCTATAATTGCAAAGAAAAAATGCATGATTTTTCCGGAACGTTCTGTATACTATAATCAACAAAGTCCCATGTGTACAAGACATTTTCATTTTTGCGACAACGTGACGTGCGATGTCTCATCAAACCACTCTTAATCATCACGACTTAACAAGAATCTGAGACTCGGATTTCGTCGCTGTCGCAGAAATTACAACAAAAATTCATGTTCTGTGAATCGAGTTTCAACGTTGTTGCTACGAAATCACGCGATTATGTAAGCATTTGGAGGTTAGAACAGTCAGTCGCTGGCAGGTAGTCTACACGCTATGACACGAGACTTGCCAAATGAAATCGGTCAAATGAACGCGACGCACCTGCTTCAAAAAGGCGGATGACTCATTCTTCTGTAGCTGATTACGGTCGAGTTTTGACGGTGTTTTTCGGCTGCTGCCGCCGCTTACGAGCGACGACAGCCGACCGGGCAACGTGCGAAAGCACAAAGACATGTTACGCTATCGCGCGTGATGACAGCTTATTCAGATCAACGACATAGTCCACGACGACCCACAAACACAATGCAACACGGTGTGTCAAGTCACTATTAATGTGTTAACTACTATGCGGTGATCTACACGCGTGGTGTCTTTCAACACGATCTTGCGCGGTCCGCAGTTACTCTTTCCGGCTGTTTCCGGTTCGAAGAATTCGGACACGTTCTTTTGCGCTTCACGAGATAGCGCTTCATAAAGTAGCGCCAAAATACATATTTTTAAAATAGCTCGAAATTCGCTGTACACAATATTTTTTTATTTTATACAGCTGTGAAATTTTATGTAAATTTCTGATAAATAAAATCGGGGGCGGATATAAAACATCATCCCGCACTAAATTCATAATTTATTTAATATTTTATAACATGTTTATGTTTATATCTATATGTTACGATTCATCATCTACATATCTATATGTATATATGTTACGAATCTATTAAAAAATGAAATTAATAATTTGTAAAAGTTAAAATAAAATATAAAATATTATAAAACTATTATAAAATTTGTAGATTAAATCATAAAGCAAATATTAGCCGATTATTTTCTTAGAAATTATAACACAATATTTGTATATTAATACTTAATTTTTTTATTGACAAATCATTTATTGTAAATCAAGAACGAATAACACGCAACATTATTGAATTCTACTATAAATGTATAATGTAATAAAACTCATGCTTAATTTCCTATATTCCTTCGCCTCAAGATAATAATTTTACATGTATCAATATATGCAGCATTCTAAGACTTAATTTTAGACTTTCTCTTGTTATTTTGTAACATAATAACTTTATAAGTACATGTTATGAAAATTTTGTTCTCAATGAATTTAATTCTCATTAATGTGTATATACATACACATAGATAAATCATTCTTAACTCAATTTACCATTAAGTTCTAAAACCGATTGAATTTTATCTACGCACTATTTTATATATTATTTTATATCTAAACTAAGTTTAAGTACTTATATCATCATTTCAGATCTTTGATCAGACTTTCTAATTTATTTTATAAATTTTATCTCTCCTAATGAATTCTTTCCAAAAATAATACTTATATTAATAAATTCAATACTTATGTTTTAATATCTAATTTAACTATTTTAATATTTAACGGAAAAAGGTATCTCCATTTTTTTAATTCATTTTTGCATCATTTTCTTCATTTTTTTCTTTTTCATTTTTAACTTTTCTAAGCATACAAGATTTACTTCAAAATGAGATTATGGTCTTTCATATTAATCTATCATTTAAATGTTTCTAGGTATACTATACTATTTGCTACAATTATTCTTCACCGAGGCTCAATTTTTGCTTAATTTCCAATGCGAGTTTGTAACCGAGTTCCGGTCGTCGGTCTCTTCCTTCCACCATAGCCTTCACCTGGCTGGAATTCACTATCACGCCATTGCTACCTATTACAGTGGCCTTGGTCTTCTCGATGTCAACGAGGTCTACGCCACGACTGCAGTCATCGATCAGTATAGTGCGATAACCACTGGTGAGCGCATCCACTGCAGTAGCGCCCACGCAAACGTCATAGGCCAATCCACAGATGTAGATATCGGTGGCGCCTTTTTCTTGCAGCTGCGATGACAGCGTGGTCTCGGTGAGCTTCTTGTTGTCCCAAAACACCGAATACGAGTCGACTTCTGAATTCGTGCCCTTGTAGATCTTGATCGCTTTGTCGATGATCTTCAGATCCTTGTGGAGCTCGGCACCCCAAGAATCCTGTACGCAATGACGAGGCCACAGGCGTTGTTTCAGTAACGGTGGTCCTTGAAACGTTACTGTGTCATATACCTGCGCCGCTTCCTTCGAGATATTGCTGCTGATGTCTACTTCTCTGCGATAACGACATTTGCTAATAAATATACAAAGATTTTTTTCCCGCTACTTTTTCTTTTTTTATAATTGCCTGTTTCGTACTTTTTATATCAATGAATAAGTTTTGATATTTTAATAAAAATAGAGCAGTATCATACATCGAACATATAAAATTTAATGTTTTAAGATTGTATAGATACATCTTAAGTAAAGATATAATAGATTGTAAATTTTGTATTTTGTAATATGTTGAGATATAATTACCTCAAGTGCAAATTATCAATGAAAGATACATGGTCCACGGGATGCCAATCCAAAGAATAAAATACTGCATCGAACGGTACAGTTTCCAACAATTGGTTAATTGGGTCGATTACTTCCGAACCATCGTGTTGCGCGGCGCATTGCTTTATGTTTAAGGAACCTGTTATAAAATCATTTTGCACATCCACAATTAGGAAAGCGCTTTTAGGACGTGTGCATACTTTGATCCATCGGTTCCAGCACACCTACAAGTTGGACCAATAGAAACAATTTTATACAAGTATATATATATAAGAATTAAGAAAGTCATTGTAAAGTTTTGAATACATCAATTCAGATATTTATTAACACTTTTAGTAAATAATTTAAAATAAATTTAAAAAAGAAAACAAAATACTTAAATAAATAAAATTGATTGCGTTAATATCATTATATATATATATAGATATCTTATTATCTTCCCAGATAAGATAGCAAAAAAAATTGTTAGAAAAATATAACTAATAATATACTTTTTATTTAAAAAAAAAGTTTAAACTTAAATTATTTTTTTCTATATTTGATGTCTTAAGCTCTCTCTTAAAATGAGTATTATAAGTTGAAGTTTAATAATATAATGTATCTCTTATATACCTCAAACTCTTCCCGGTCGATCAGGCCGTCGCCTTTGAGATCGAAGATTGAATACACCTCGCGCAGTTGATCTTCTTCGAGGCCATAAATCTTGCCGCGATCATTTCGAAACAATGCGCGACATACGAGATCAAATTCAGAAATCGACAGGAATCCGTCGCCGTCTTTATCGAAGGCGTTAAAACACGCGTCCATGTCTCTCGACGCTACTTGCTGACTATCTGTAACTATCTGTTTCCAAGTTCCACTTGTTTAATCAATACTGAGATTAGCGTCTGTCCGATCACTTTACACCTGGACCGTTCAGACAAATATAGATCTATCGATGAAAATACTGCAGTATTTTATATATAATACCTATCGTTATCTGCAATATGTTATAATCTAGCCACTCTCAAAGAGAAACAAATGTTCCACAAGTATCGACTTTTACCGTCAAATCAATTTATTATCAAATGGCTCGGTGTATTACAATATTACATTAAAAAATTGTTTTATTTATCATGTCTTTTACATTTCAAGATTGCAAATGAAAGGATTAATTTTATTCCTTTACTATATATATATATAGTTTTAGATTTCTATCATAATTATACCATTTCGCATTACAGTATTATTTCATTTGGGCTATATATTACATAGACCGCGCGAGTCTCTGATGCGTTAACAGCGACACATCGACCATCGCTTCAGGATGTAATAATTCGTGTACGTCGTACTTAGACGATTCTTCGTAAGCATATGTCACGGAGGTATCGGATAATAGCATGTTGCATTGCGCCAGGATCAAGATGCAATTACGTAAACGTGTACAAACATTGCGATTTTCCACAGGAATTTTCGACAGATCCTCTGTGAAACCACCCTCGGATTTATCGATATTTTGAATGTTTGCACTTATCCATATGTAGCCGTTATAACCGAGTATCAAAATGGCTCCGCTCTCTAGAGTGTGATAGTGTGTCTTCTTGCGTTGAATTAACACCGGTGGTACCTTTAACATTATCCCCTGCGACAATTTGCCATACTTCAATACTCGTGTATGTAGGGAGAGTGAGCCGTCTGCGAAGATTGATTGCACTTCTGCACAAATCAGGTCTCCTTCCTGCAAATATCTGCGCATCGTCTGTTCATCTTCGACGGATCTTCTTCTCTGCAAATTTAAAGGATATTCAAATACATATATATTGAGAACTGTTGCATTTTTTTTATTATTTTGACACTAGTATTTAACTAAATAAAAGTTTTATAAAAAAATTTAATTACAAGAGTATTTAATAATTCTGAAATATATTTTGGTTAAACAATATTCTATTACATTAAAGAATAACAATAATAATAAATAGTAAAATTATTTTTTTCAAAGTAAAAAAATCAATTTATTATATAATAAGCCAAAACCGAATGTAAAAATAAGAAGTTATTATAAATTAAAGAGAATAATAATTACATACGTTTTTTTTTTAAATTCTAAATAGACTCTAAGGTCAATATTCATATTCAGTTCATATATTCAATATTCACAATCAGTTCTTATATTCGAGATCTTAAGTTCAGTTTTTTGAGATGTCACGAATCAATCAGAAAGCATTAATGTCTTAAGACATACTTAAGATAGTCTTAAAATAAAAATCAACTATGAATACCAGCCTAAGACTAACTTAAACATCATAAAAAAATTTAAATCTCAATAAAAAGCTTAAATTTCAAACAATTTTATACAAATATTTAAAAAATAGAAGTGCTTCATTTATATATATAGCTTACCAATTCACCACCAGGCAAATTAACACTGGACAATAACAGGACAGCATCAAGTTTAGCATTTATATCAACTTTCCAACGCTTCTGTTGAACTTCCGTTATCCTTCCTACGACAAGATCTCCGATCTCTCCATTATAACGTGCCTTCAAGGGTCTAATCGATATAAGTTTGTTCACCTTTTCCAAGATTCCAGCGACAGATGCACGCAATGTTTTCTCATCATCAACATAAGTTCCATGGCCTCTAATTAAATAATCAATTCCAATCCATTAGTTTCACAATCTTGTGTTGCGTAAAATCAAAGCAACTATCTACCTCAGAAAATCCGGTTGACTGGATATCTGCTCGCCAGGGGTGTAAAGCCGTGGCTGGATGCCATCATTCGTTATTAGATTGAAATCTACCCTGTTTACTGCCAGACGTACATTAATGGGCGGATATTGAGCCATTATACAATAATATTGACAAAATTTAATTGCCCTATTGCTCTCACCTTCCAACGATTTAATTTTTTTCTTTTTGGTTAAGCGTCACCGGATCGCCGTTGAATTATCAGCAGATTGACGACATACTCCATTTTAGAAAAATGCCACATTACCAATTTTAATATGCAATTTTCTTATTGGAGCTAATTGGATGCTCCGCACAATAAAAGAAACAGAGAATAAGAATTTCAACCTATCAGAAATTGTATTCCACAATACATGATTCCTGATAGCTTGAAATTCTTATTCTTTGTTCTGTTCCCTGTGTTCCTTTTATTATTATTGCGGATCCCTAAGAATTTCAACCTATCAGAAATCATGTATTGTGGAATACATAGTTTCTGATAGGTTGAAACTCTTATTCTCTGTTCTTTTTATTGTGCGGAGCCCCTGCTGTTTGTAAAATCATAAAGATGTCGCATCAAAACTGAGGTTACATGTATCGTTTAAGGAGCGGGTTCTAAATATTTATGTAATGAAAGAAAGAAATTAAGCTGATTTTACAATGAGTAGTCGGAAATTATAAGTTTTAATAATCAGCCTTAATTTAATAGGTGATAGTTTTTTTTCACATCTATGACTGCGGTCAATTTGATTTCTAGTTTTAAGAATAAAAAGAAGATCAAGAATAAATTGAACCGAGATTATTAATCCACATTGATAGAAACCACACTAATCGTACAAGTTGGCTATTGGCCGACTTCATCGATTCACGATAAGACTTAGGACTACCGACTTATTGTAGAATCAGTATGGATAATGCAATAGAAAATGCAGAAGATTCGGATGATGAATGTCCGACAAAACAAGCTAAAAATATGTCTTTCCAAAGTAAGTTACATTATAATGTTATTAGGTAATGTTATTAGGTAAAATATCAGTAATATGCTGTTATCAACAGATTTGAATCAAATTTTCATATTGTATCTACATGATTGTAATTTGCATCTACAAGCTTATGTTCTGTCAGTAAAGTCTGTTGATAATCTGAACAAATTACTAGTAGAGAAACTACAAAATCTATATATAATTTCATAATGAAATATTAATTGGTTATTGAATGATAAATTCTGCTTGATTTCTATAGTTAATTTATGATCATATATTCTGTGATCTGTAAATGTATTTCATATTTATTCCATACATTCTGTTGTATGTCTCTACTGGCATCTATGAACAAAATGTATCAGTAGACTAATTTACAAGATCTATTTTTAATAGTTTTAATTATTTAGAATATTACTTATAATACAATTGAAAATTTTATCTATATATCTTATAACTTGGATTTTTTCCAGCTGCTTTTAGCAATTTGAAGAAATCTGAGTTTTTCACAGATTTGCCAGCTTCTCTTTCTAAGCCTGAAACTTCCACGGCAATATCTTCAAGTAGAACCAGCACTGTCCTTGTCAGTCCAAAGCAAGTAATACTGTTTTCTTATATTTTTATCAAATATTATAATATAAATTTTTAAGAGTAAATATATTTTAAAAACTGTACAAACCAAAGTTAATAATATATTTTTATAGAAAGTAAATAAGTTTGTCAGTAAAATTTAAAACATTATGTTATATTAAAACTTAGTTAAATTTTAAAAATGTATAATATCTTTTCTTTCTCTCCAGAAAGGTAATCCGTTATTAAAGTTTATAACAAATGTATTATGGGAATATTCCGACATTGTGCCAGATTATGTAATGGGAAAAACTACGTGTGCTCTTTTTTTATCAATTCGTTATCACCAACTAAATCCTGATTATATTCATGAAAGACTTAAGTTGTTGGGCAATGCGTATAACTTACGAGTGCTTTTAGTACAGGTAATTAAAATTTATATATTTGTTTTATAAAAATATAAACTATTAATATAATTCTTTATACAACATTATTAATTATGATTAAGTAATTATATTATTTATTTCTATTATATGCATTCATAATTTATAATTTCTTAAGTTTTGTATTGATTAGAAATTTTGTAGGTTTTTGTATCTATATTAGACTTTTTTATTCAATTAGATTGATGTTCCCGAGCCTCATCATGCTTTGAAACATTTAACAAGGATTTCCATTTTGGCAGACTTGACAATAATGTTAGCATGGAATGCAGAGGATGCAGGAAAAATTATTGAAACTTATAAAATATATGAAAATAAACCTCCTGATAATATCATGGAACGCAGCGAAACAGCACCTTATCAAAAAGTAATTATTATCTACTAAGAAATATATAGATATATTTTAAAAATATGTATATATTAGAGAAATATTAGGTGTGGGAAAAAGTTCGTGACGTTTTTCCCATTAGATGGCATTAAAAAAACGCCACGAACTTTTTCCCACACCTAATATTTATATAATAAATATTTATTACAGTTGGTTAATGCCTTAACGACAGTAAGATCTGTCAACAAAACCGATGCAACAACTCTTCTAACAACTTTTGGCACATTAGCTAACATTGTAAGAGCACAACCCAACACTTTAACCTTGTGTCCTGGATTTGGTGTACATAAAGCTCAAAAACTTCATAAAGTTTTGCATGAATCTTTTCTATGCACACCAAAACTCTCTACAAAAAAATAAAGTTTTCCAGTACATGTATATTTAATGTTTTACATTAAAGTTTTATATTAACTGTAGAATTATTGCGCTATAATAAAATAATTAGATAAGGGTCACAATATATACACATAACCAAAAAATGTATATAAATTATAAATAATAAAA